CTCTGCATGAAAGAATTGCCACTTGTGTCCCGCTTAAATCTTTCTCCTTTCATGTTAAACAGATGCCATCTAGTTTTGGACTCGCCCAACCCAGAGAAAAGACCTTGGCTATCCACCCTATCCATTCCCCTCATTATTTTATAAACCTCCATAATGTCACCCCTCAGCCTCCGACACTGCAGGGAAAATAGCCCCAGTCTATCCAGTCTCTCCCTATAGCTCAAAACCTCCAACCCTGGCAACATCCTTGTCAATCTTTTCTAAACCTTTCAAGTTTCACAACATCCTTCCTATAGCAGGGTGACAAGAATTGTGCATAGTATTCCAAAAGTGGCCTAACCAATGTCCTGTACAGCTGCAACATGACCTCCTAAGTCCTATGCTCAATGCACAGACCAATAAAGGCAAAAATACCAACCACTCAGAAAAGTCGACATAATCATGAGTGAATTGTTTCAGAGTCTCGAGCACAGCAGGGAAAATGGCTAGAGGCTTTCATTGGCTTGGTTAACTCATGTTGGATGGATGGCTCATTTGCCACCAGTGATGTTTCAACTCTCACACTGTCTGAGGTTTATCATGAAGGACTCTCCTTCTCAAACTTTCCCCTCATCTCAGGTTAAACTGCCACCAGTTGTTTCTTTCTGATGAGAGAGCAGGCCTATTGTGACTTTGCCTGTGTCCCAAAACATAACAAAGAACCTTGGATGTTGGAGATGTGAAAACACTAACAGAGAGTACTGGGGATACTGAGCAAATCTGGCAGCATCTTTGAAGTGAAAAAAACACAATTAAAGTTTTGAGTCCAATGACCCTTTCTCAGAACTGAAAGCAGATTACATCCCTTGGAATTCAGCTTGTGCTTATTAGTTTTGGAGTGTGAACACCTTACTCCACGTTTGTTACCCACTCACATACCCCCAGGTCTCTTTTTTTATGGGTTCCTTCCAACACAGCCAACACATTTTCAACTGTTCACACTCTTTGTTCGCAGCCATTCAATATCTATCTCTTCCTCCAGTTTACAATCAGCAATCCTTTTGTCTGCTTCTCCTTTTTTCTTTCTCTCCATCTCTCTCTGGCTCTCCATGTATTCAACTCAATCCTTCCCCAACCTTCCCAGCAAACACCATCTCCCAGCATCAGCTTAAATGCCAAAATTTCCTAGCTGCTTTCTGCCCCAACAAAGTGTCACTGGACTCCAAAACATTAATTCTGTTTTTTTTCTCTCTCTACAGATGCTGCCAGAACTGCTGGGTTTCTCCAACACTTGCTGTTTTTGTTAAGGATTGTGCCATTTGTTCTGAAAGCAACCCACAATGTTTTATTGTATATTGAATCATTTATGCAGATAGTATAAATTATTAATTTCTGCTGAAGGGGTTAAAAATAGGTAGTGTCATGAGCATCAAAATGTGAAACGATGGTTTAACAGAACTGTTAAAACAGAATTATGTCAAGTATGCAAATTTGTCTTGTAACTTGCTGAGGGTTTGTGCTCTGCTTAATAACATTCAACAAAGGATGGATGAACTGTTCTGCTAGATTACAGCCTGGGCAGTAAAGACAACAATCTTACATGCTAGCTAAGTTGGAAAAATAAGAAAGTAAAATAAACTACTCCACAGTTTATCTGCTGCCCAAAGATTTAGGCTCACCCATCTTCATTGTAGTCTACCAATAAGACCAAAAATAAATCTCCTAGCAACCGCTACAGGACCATGATAAGACTTCAAAATCTGTACTGTCGTGTTGTAATTTGATCTCTATAATGGTTGCATTGTCAGATAATTCTTTGGTTTGAAACACTGCACTGACTTGCCAAGAGCTGTGACATATCTGAAATTGATCCATGCAGGCTTGAAAACTACTCATTGAAATTGATAATGTCCAGTTATACAAACCAGTTTTCAATCATGCAGAATAGTATTGCTAATTTAGAATCCATATGTGAGAGAGAACAACATTCTCTGGATTATACTTTTTTTTTGTCTTTCAAGTGGTTGATGATACTTTGCTGTTATCGCTCAGCTTTTTTTTTAATGACACTTAAGCTGTCAACAATTGTACCAGACTTTACATGAGCAAGCACCATCCCACATAGTTTGGAAGCAGTTCAGAGAAGGTCCACTTGGCTGGTTCCTGGGATGAAGGTCTTTTCCATATGAGCACAGCAGACCTGTGCTCTTCATAAATCATCTTTATTGAGCGACTATATATACGTTAATTCAAAGCAAACGCTACTTTCTCGATTGTTAGCACAAAAGGACCAATCGTTTGGGGCGGCACGGTGGCTCAGTGGTTATCACTGCTGCCTCACAGCGCCAGGCTACCAGGATCGATTCCAGCCTCGGGCGACTGTCTGTGTGGAGTTTGCACATTCTCTCCATGTCTGCATGGGTTTCCTCTGGGTGCTCTGGTTTCCTCCCACAGTCCAAAGATATGCAGGGTAGGTGGATTGGCCATGCTAAATTGCCCGTGCTGTCCAGGAAGGTGCAGGTTAGGTGGGTTAGACATGGGAAATGCATGGGTAGGGGAATGGGTCTGGGTGGGATGCTCTTCGGAGGGGCAGTGTGGACTTGTTGGGCCGAATGACCTGTTTCCACACTGTAGGGACTCTATGATAATGGAGAGGACTATTTTATAAATTAGTCTACATTATGATGTGGATAGTTTACATACTTTGATCCAAATTTTTCTGTGAGTGGCTACCTGAAAAATAATATTGTCACTGAAACTAAAGATAGCAAACATCTTGAATAATTACTTTGCATCAGTATTTTAAGTAGAGCAGAGGTCTGCACTCTCAAAATCACAAGGAAATAAATATTGAGTCAGGAATAGGAATTCCAACACAATTAACAAAAGCAAAATAAAAGCTGTTTTTACAAAATGATGGTTCTGAAGAATGACAAGTCCCCCAGAACAGGTTTCCATCCCAGACCATTATAGATGTTTTAACAATTTCCTTCCAAAGTTCTCTTGATATGAGTACCATTCCTTTAGATTGGAACATTTCTCATATTACTCCACGATTTCCGTAAGGTGAGAGGACAGACATCTAACATCTCTCATCTGTCATTGGAAAATCACTTGAGACTAAAACTAAGGATGAGGTGACAACACCGTTAAGATTTTCAGCTGATCACGGACAATGGATTTATTAAAGTTGTATGTACTGAATCAACCTAATTTTTGAGAAGTTCCTCTGCTGAACAGGGACATTTTCATGGATATAATTTACACAAATTTGTAGAACGCATTTGATAAAGCCCCTCTAAAAGCCTGTCAGCTAAGGTTGAAACCCACGGAACTGGAGGCAAATTATGTAGCAAGATTAGGTTAGGGTTGTTGGTAAAAGGTATTCTGCACCCATGCCAGTGAGCTTCAACAACATTTATTAAGCATACCCACTATATACAGGAGAGTGTAAGGAATACATTTCTGGAACCCTGCACACTCAGGTCTAAGTTCCATGTGACCTAGCTTCCTACTGATATAATCATAGCAACTAGGAGCAAGAATAGACCCTTCAGTTCTTCAGGCTTGCTCCACAATTAATATGATCATGGCCACTATCTCAATGTCACATAACTGCTATTTCCCCATACTCCTCAACTCCATTAAAATCTAAAAAAAATCTTTGACGTTTTTGAATATATTTCTCCGTGGCTTTCTATGGTAGAGAATTTCTTAGGTTCACCAGTGTTTGAGTGAAGAAATCTTTCCCATCTCAGCTGTAAATGGTTGACTCCATATCCTGGTTCTAGACTCACCAACCACGGAAAACATCCCTCTCCCTGCTCCTTACATAGACACTCAGTACTCATTTATATAAAGTATAGCCAACGCTTTGCTCCACAAATTATTGACTTGGTTAGGAAAGTGACTGAGCGGCAGGAGACAGAAAATAGAGATAATAGCGGCATATCACTTCTGGTGTCCCACAGAGACTGTGCTGGAGTTCAAAACTTCAACATATTTATGAATGACTTAGATGATGAGATTGAAAATCATATATTCGAATTCACTGATGGTACAAATTTGTGACCCAATATAAGCAAGTGTCAATGGAAACAAAGAGATACAAAGAAATATTGATAGACTAAGTGAATAGGCAAAAGTTTTAATACACAAGTACAATGTCATCACTTTGGATAAGAAGGAAAGAAAAGTACTTTCTAAATTTTGAAAAAACAGAAATAGCCTAGGTCCAAAAAGGTGACCAGGTATTTCCCTTCCCTGAAGGATATTGGTGAAATAATTGGGTTTTCAACAATCAGTGGTAGTTTCACCAGTACTTATGCTAGCTTTCAATTTCAGATTTCATAAATTTAATTTAAACTCTGCCGAGATGCGATTGGGATTTGAACCCTATCCTCAGAGAATTAGCCTGGGCCTCTAGATGATGATTGTGATGGTACTATTCACCAATACGTTCAGTACTGAGCAGATTGAGGTGTTAATGTTTTCTTTAGCTCCTGTCAAATACATCAGAACAATGCTACTTGGTAGGTGGATATTTTTGGATGTTGGAATCTAAGTACAACATCTTTCTGTATGAAATGCAGTCATTACGTTGTTATTTCTGAAAATAATTCTGCGATTACATTAAGGCACCAGGTAAGCACATTTCATGTGCACCATACTGATGTATTATGGAACAATTGATTTCTTTGACTATTTTAATAACATTTTTAAAGATACACAATATACTTTTAAAAACTTCTCTGATTAAAAAATCTATTATCTGGAACAATTGGAAATGCTATGAAATCATATAGACAAGATGGTCACTGTCTATGATTTGTATTACCTTCTTCTTTTTGTATCTATTGGACACTTTCAGTGACCTTGGGCTGTCTTTCAACACATGGACGTCTTTAACAAAGTGCATGAGAAACTATGCCATATGAGGAAATTTAAATGTTAAGATTATCTCACAATTAATTGGTGTTGAAATATTGACTATCCTAATTCTTCTGTTTCATTCCTTTTAGTTCCTGGCTTCCCTTACCCAGCCGCCACTGCAGCTGCTGCTTACCGAGGGGCACACCTGAGGGGTCGAGGACGTACGGTTTATAACACATTCCGTGCTGCTGCACCACCTCCGCCCATACCAGCCTACGGCGGGTAAGTGCAATGTCAAAAGGTTCGCAAATAATTTAAGAAGCAAGAAGTATTTTCCAGTAGAGTGCATGCTGGTCTTGGCTCACCGTGGAAACCAACACAGCATACAAACAGTCCAAATACCTGCAGCTAAACATCTTGCCTGAAGTCACACGATGTAATTGTAATTATTTCTAACTTGGACATTTGAAGGGCAGGCATTTCCCTCATGCTTTGGGATCCTGACACCACGGACCAAATTGGCATGCTAAGACTGCAATTGATAGTAGGAACACCATCTCAGAACCTTGCAGAAGGTGGCATCCTATCTCTTTGTCCACTATGCAATTAGAAGGCTGGTCGATTTGGAGTTTAACAGGCCCACTGGGAGAACTGGGTGCTCCTGAGGCAGGTGGATGAACCGCAAGAGCACAACAATATGGCAATATGTGCCCTGACCAACAGAACAGTGCAGAAATAAACTATCACAAGGTTGAGGGGCCCCTTGGACTCCTCCACTGGACTGGAAGTTGGCCATGATTGTAGCTTCTCATGTTCGAGGCCCTGTCATATGGGATATGAAGCCTTTGGATCCAATCCGCCTTTAACCTGCATCTGCAAGGTCACATCCAGTGATCTGGTGCATTCTCAGTACTGGAGGTGTGTGCATGTGGAGGGGGTAGCGTCTATTGTTGGTACAAGGCCAGGGGGACTGAAAAATCGCCCTTAATATGGGTAATCACCTTAATTGACTGTCCAACCCCATGCAGCAGACAGCTGATCTTCTTAACAGCCTACTGGGAAACTTTCCAATGATGGGATTACATTGGGAAACTATTCAACATGGCTTCACCCTATTTTGGTAGCTACTCTACTTCCAACCCTGTCTCCATACATTGGCAAAGTCCAAGCTGAAGTATTTTAAATGTCACAAATCATTAAATAATGTCTGCCAGTCTCCATAAGAATCATTTTCTCCCCAGGTGGGTTAGGAATAAAAGTTACAAATTTACTCATTGAAGGAAGATTTCTTTTGTATTCAAGTCTTCCCATCATATCTGGAATACAAGTTGGTCTCCAGGAAATGGAAATGAAGTGCTGACCTGCTCACAGTTGTTCAAGGATGTAATTTTGAGAATTTGAATCATTTTCTCCCCAGGTGGGTTAGGAATACTCACTAAATTCTGGATGGAAAATGCCAGAGACATGAACTTTGAATTACCATCAACCTATAACAGAAGAACATTCATTGAATACTGTAGAACGTTACTGGAATCAGATATGTATTTCTTTTGAAGATTACAAACATCTGATTCTTATGGATGTTGGACAGAGTTCAGGAAATAATTTCCATGATTTAACAAATGAAAGTGGGATTCTTTTTTCCTTTCTTTTCTGATCATCATCAGCTCATAGATTAACTCAACCATCACAATTAATTCAACCATCACAAATGTTCGTGGACGTTTCTTTTGCCATGCATGAGCCTTAAAAATCTTCAGACAGTTACGTTATAAGTTACAAATTTACTCATTGAAGGAAGATTTCTTTTGTATTCAAGTCTTCCCATCATGTCTGGAATACAAGTTGGTCTCCAGGAAATGGAGATGAAGTGCTGACCTGCTCACAGTTGTTCAAGGATGTAATTTTGACGTTTGCAGTAAAGTTAATTTAAACAGCAGGCTAAGGGGATAATTTTCACCTAACATGCCTGGCTTCAATGGGAAGTAATATCGGGCAGCATGTACAATAGAGCTATCATGATAATATCATTTTCTCCCCAGGTGGGTTAGGAATGCTCACCAAATTCTGGATGGAAAATGCCAGAGACATGAACTTTGAATTACTGTCAAACTATAACAGAAGAACATTTAGACTTAGTCAGGTGCAAAGCAGAAATGGTTGTAAGTGGGTTCCTGAATCAAGAGCCCTGAAGGTGATTCTCAATTGGGCTGTCAGCCTCATGCCCATAATGTAGATGAGGTACAAGTCTTTGGTTCAGATGTAAGAATTATTGGTTCACTTTACCTTTAATTTTAAGATCTACATAATTACAACCATCGACTGAATTGAGAGATCAGTTTAAAAGTTTGATAGTCTTCATTTGGTTCCAAGACCCATTCCAGGTACATGATTCGCAAATCTTACAGAATTTAGTAAGTTTATCAAAATAAGTACAAAAGTTATGATACATAATTAAAAAACATTATCTTTTTCTCAGTGCTATAATTTGGGTTACAAGATCACAGTACTGGTTGATTGGGTACTTGTCTCTTGTTCCCCCTGTTGATTGAAGTTCTCCTCCTGAATTCGGTTTTCCTTTCTTGTTTATCAAACCACTAAGTATCAGTGAATATTTATCCTTATTAGCCACTACACCCTGTACATGATCAGAGACATCCTGGATGCTAATTAGCATGCTACCACAGGAGCAGCACATGGATTGCCTAAACAATGTACACCTATTTCCAAACTGTTTTCTTTACAAGTGGTGATCGTCCTCAAGACGTTACTTCCTTGACATAACAAGCACTTTGTAAGATCATCCCTTTTGTATCAGCTTATCTCTCTTAGCTTACTAACTTCTGAGATCTTTGCCAAGATAATATGGCGCCAGTAGAACAATGTGTGTGTCTGTTTAGAATATGAAGCAATTAAAGACCATCCCAAATATCCCAACTGCTGTGTCTAACTACTCTCCAAAACTCTAGCACCATACCAAAAGAACCATGCGTGACACTACAATTTTTGTAGACGCCTAAAACAAATGATCTGAAGTTATTTTCAAAAGACCATACTTGATTCTTTTGTTTTTTAAAAAACTTGTTCTGTACTTCAAGTTACAAAATTAAGTCACTTTAAAACTGAGCCAGTTTACCTGAAGGCATTCTACCTCAAAGCATCTTCATATTTGTTAGCCTACGTTTACATTAGATTGAGCCAAATAAACAGCCATTGAACCATAAACCCATTACTTTATTTTTTTTCCTGGACTATACAGCTATTCTTTCTTGCAAAAGGTGTATTGCAACTAGCCCCAGTTAAACAATCAAAAATCCTCACTTGCTTAATCAAGTCAAAATTATTAAAATTAACTCAATCTAACGTAGTTTCCTGGCAGCTGCTGTTATGGTCTTTGAATTTCAAATTGTCTGCTTCACTGAAGGCATGATCAAACACTGATTATTAATAAGAGTTTGCGATAGTTAGCTATATTAGATAGCTGATCCAACACCGCATGGAATTCTGTAGCATTTTGAAGCAGGAATATAAGCAATCAACCTAACATGGATAGGTAAGTCTTAAATTTCTCAGGAAATTAAAGGATACAGAAAATATGCAGGAAGGTGGGAGAGAAGATGGATAGGTGGTGTTAGGTCAAGGAAGCGGGGATGAGAAGGAGGGTTTGGACGTGGGATGAGACTGGGGGTGGGGAGATTTTTAAACTGGTGAATTCTGTGTTGAGACCATTGGGCTGTGGGATCCCAAGGCAGAATATGAGGTGTTGTTCCTCCAGTTTGCGCATGGATTCATTGTGACACTGGAGGAGGCCCGGGATGGACATGTCACCCAGGGAGTGGGAGGGGGAGTTAAACTGGTTGGCAACAAGAAGGTGTTGTTGAGTATAGCGTACAGAGCGCAGATGCTCTCTGAATTGGTCACCAAGTCTGCGCTTGGTCTCATCGATACAGAGGAGACCACATTGGGAGCAACGGATATAGTAGACCAGGTTGGAGTATGAACAGGTGAATCCCTGTTGGATTTGGAAAGATTGTCTGGGGCCTTGGGCGAAGGTGAGAGGGGAGGTGGAGGGGCAGATGTAGCATGTCCTGAGGTTGCAGGGAAAGGTGCCAGGTTTGGTGGGGAGTGTGGAGCAGATAAGGGAGTCGCGGAGCGAGCGGTCCCTACAAAAGGCAGATAGGGTTGGGGAGGGAAATATCTCTTTGATGGTGGGGTTGGATTGCAGCTGGCGGAAGTAATGGAGGATGATGCGTTGGATGTGGAGGTTGGTGGGGCGGTATATGAGGACCGGGGGATTCTTCCCGTATTTTAGTTGGAGGGAGGGGATTTGAGAGCAGAAGTGTGAGAAATGCAAGAGATGCAATTGAGGGCATTACGTGTCAATGGAGGGGGAATGTTGTGGTCCTTGAAGTTGGAAGACATTTGGGATTTCCAGGAGTGGAACGCTCCATCTTGGGAGCAGATGCGGTGGAGTTGGAGGAATTGGGAGAAAGGGATTGCATTGTTGCAGGAAGGTGGGTGAGAGGAGATGTAGTCAAGTAGCTGTGGGAGTTGGTGGCTTTAAATAGATGTCAGTGCTGGAATGGTTATTGGAGATGGCGATGGAGAGGTCCAGGAAGGGGATGGAGGTATCGAAGATGGCCCCACCATCACATCACAGTGGAAAATACACTCATAGAGTCATACAGCACCGAAACAGACCCTTCGGTCCAACTCATCCATGCTGACCAGGTATTGTAAATAAATCTAGTCCCATTTGCCAGCATTTGGCCCATATCCCTCTAAACCCTTCCTACCCATCTAATGCCTTTTAAATGTTGTAATTGTACCAACCTCCACCACTTCTTCTGGCAGCTTGTTCCATACACGCACCACCTTCTACGTGAAAAAGTTGCCCCTTAGGTTCCTTTTAAATATTTCCCCTTTCACCTTAAACTGTAGTTTTTGACTCACTCACTCCACGGAAAAGACCTTGTCTATTTACCCTATCCATGCTCCCCCTGGTTTTATAAACTTCTATAAGGTTATCCCTGAGCCTCCGATGCCCCAGGGATAATAGCACCAGCCTATTCGGACTCTATAGCTCAAATTCTCCAACCCTGGCAACATCCTTGTTAATGTTTTCTGAACCCTTTGAAATTTCACAACATCCTTCCTATAGCAGGGAGACCACAGTTGCGTGTGGTATTCCAATAGTGGCCAAACCAATGTCCTGTGCGGCCGCAACATGACCTCCCAATATATGTGGCTGCACTGGAGAATCAACTATTGTGGAAGGTAATACCAACCTCTGCTGTCTCCTAGCACAGGCAGAACAGCAAGTTAGGATTAAACAAAAGACCTATCATCTTTGCAACTTTAAGTATGATAATTTCAAACCTTTGGGAACCAAAAGACAAGCTGAACCCGCAACAGGGAGAATTAGTACATGATGAGTGTGGTTGATTCATTCACCAGTGGGCATCAATCTAACTTTTCCTGATGGGAAGACATTACATTAACAGAAACGGTTGAAAACCGGAAGTCTACATTCCGTAGAACCAGTGGATTTGGTCACAGTGATGACTGATGGTAGTAAATAGGAACCACAGGTCCTGATTTTCAAGCAGATAGAAGATTCCCACAGGAAAGAAGGTCCCACAACAGTCAGTGTTGATCAAGCTGAAATGTATTTATGGTGAACTAAATTAGCACATGAGGGAGAGAGGAATAGAAGGCGATATGTTGATTAGGTGAGAGAAAGTGAATATAATGGGAGGAGGCTGGTGTGAATTGTTGATCAAACGGCCAAGTTCTATGCTATAAATTCCTGCAGGATGATTCCTTCAGTTCTCATTTTGTGAGCTGCATCTTACCTTTGCATATTCAAATCCAGATATTTGTTGTCTTGTTAAAATACAATACAAATATATTGAAACTGGTTGAGTATGCGAGAAGAACACTTGCATTTACAGTACTTTATTTACACAGCTGAGTAAACATGCCTACGTACCTTCATTTATCCTTCTCCATGCTGTGTGAATATCTAAATACTTCTTACCTTTGAGTTCAAACCACACTGCTGTACTCCCAGCTTTCGATTTTTGAAGCATTGCAATTATTTTCAGTCCTTCTTTTATAATCAGATGAGCTTTTTTTTTCTTCGAGTGTCCTTAGAAGAAAAAAATTCAAAATGAAGATTCCTTCCATTTTACTCATCCTGAGTACCAGTCTTTTTAAACACTGTTCTTTTTTTATTTGCACTTTCCCCTTTTCAATCTATTAACTCTTTTAGCCACTGATCATTGCATCATTAGTAGGGATAGCCTGTAACCAGTTCTTCATTTCCACAGTCAATTGGTGGCGTGCAGGTCAATTGTCAGATAGTCAGAACGCGTAGGGTTTGTTGGATAGATGTTTATTTTTCCAACGTTAAGTTCATTAAAACAGTTCTGTAAACCAGTGAGCTGATTAATGCCTCATCATTGCTGTTTTATTCCCCACCAAATTTGTCCTAATTTGTTTTCCTGTTCTTTTGGCCAGAATAACAGCATGGTCTGAGCTGCAGAGTTCAACACAGTTTCTATCATACCTGCCTGATCATCAGCCATCAGCTCAGGAATCTTCTTTTTCTTGGGCAGTCCCTAGAGACAAGGGATGGCTTAAATATGGGTAAACTTGTTTTTCCCTTAATTGTCCCTGAATGGCATTATCATTCAGTATCCCAGATGACATCACATCAAGTTTGTATCTTCATTGCCAGTGCTTACTTTGTTGTTGACCCCCATGTCTCATGAAAGAGAAAGTGAGCTATTGGAAATGTGACCCTGCTACAGCCTGCAAGCAGCCCAATCTGAATAAGTTCATGACTACAGCCCACCTCCAATGTAACTGCTGTATCCACTCTCCTCTGGGGCTGTGTGTCTGGCTGCAATAGTTGCTTGATGTCAGTGAGCATCTGAGCTGAAGAAGCAGAAATACAGTTCCTCATTTGAGGTTGAGATAGCAGAATTGGTTCCACAGGGATCAGTACTGGGTCTACTTTTATTTGTTATTTACATAAACGATTTGGATGAGAATTTAGGAGACATGGTTAGTAAGTCTGCAGAAGACACCAAAATTGATGGTGTAGTGGACAGTGAAGAAGATTATCTAAGATTACAAAGAGATCTTGATCAGTTGGATCAATGGGCTGAGGAGCGGCAGATGGAGTTTAATTTGGATAAATGTGAGATATTGCATTCTGATAAAATGAACAAGGGCAGAGTTAGTGGTAGACCCCTAGGTGGTGTTGTGGAACAGAGAGACCGAGGGGTTCAGGTACGTAATTCTTTGTAATATGTGTCACATGTAGACAGGGTGGTTCAGAAGGCATTTAGCATGCTTGCCTTCATTGCTCAGAACTTTGAGTATAGGAGTTGGGATGTCATGTTGAGGTTGCACAGGTGAGGCGTCTTCTGGAATACTGTGTGCAGTTCGGGTCACCCTGCTAAAGGAAGGATATTATTAAATTGGAGAGGGTTCAGAAAAAAGTTGCCAGGATATTGCCAGGAATGAACGGTTAAAAATAGAAAGATAGGCTGAATAGGCCGGGACTTTGTTCAGTGGACCATAGGAGGTTGAGAGGTGACCTTGCAAAGGTTTATAAAATTATGAAGAACATAGATAAGGTGAGTAACAAGCGTCTTTTCCCTAGGGGCGGGGTTCAAAATTGGGGCATATTTTAAAGGTGAGTGGAGAAAGATTTAAAAAGGACATAAGGGGCAATTTTTTTTTTGCACAAAGAGTGGTTTGTATGTGGAATAATCTGCCAGAGGAAGTGGTGGATGCAGGTACAGTTATAACATTTAAAAGTACACAATAAGTACACGAATAGGAGAGGTTTGGAGGGGTATGGGCCAAATGCAGGCAAGCGGAACTAATTGGACCAAAAGGTGTTTTTCCATGCTGTATGACTCAATGACTCTGTAGGTCCTGGGTGGCTATTGACTTCAACTGAAAATACATCTCCCTGTCCTCCTCCCTCTTTGAGCAACTTGTTCTTCTCTGCTTCACTTGAGATAATTGTCCCTGACATGTTACAGGCCAGGAGCAGAGTCATTATAACACCCATGACTGGGAGCAAAGATGTGTGCAGAACCGTTGAAGCCAGAACCAAGGCCTTCACTGTGTGCAATACCATTCTTCACGGAGTTTACAGTTATGATCAGCATAAACCACCAAACAGTTCTTCCATTGGTGTTCAGTCAACAGTTCATCTGCAAGAGTGTCATGATTGTTCCCAATGGTGTGCTGCGCGAGATTGAGAGAGGGTGTTCACAGTGTATTCAGGTTGAAAGTGACATCACTAAACACAAATGATGCTTCACACCAGCCGATGTTGTGATCTGCCTGCCCTGCATTGTTTTGGCCACATGGAGTATGTCGTTAAAATGGCATCCAGCATAGCCAGTAACGCTATGCAGATGTGATTCAGATGTCATTTTATACCTAAAACAACACCTATAACACCCAAAGCACAACTGAATTTTGTAAGCCATTTTTCTCTGGTTTCTGAAACATACAAAACTAGACGTGATCTCAATAGATCAGCTTGCTGAAACTATTAACACAGCTTCTACCAGGAAACAGAATTTTCTGGATCACTTTGCAAGTATATTCCAGAACGATATGTTGAGAACTTTCTTTAACTGACAAAGGTCTTAATGAGATAAATTTAGATTGCTTTAACTCAGTTTGAAGCGAATAGAAATTTAAAATCTGAAACTTCTCCATGTTTAGCATTAATTGAACAAAGAATGGTTGGAATGGAAAATGAAACCATCCCACAGCAACTGTAGGAGGATCTCTTTAGATTGGACTGAGGTTGGGAAGTCCATTGTTCAAGTGCTGTCAGCTCTAAGCTTTATCAAATCTGTACCACAGGACTCATAACATGGAATAAACATGTTCCATTTCACTCCAGCATAAGTCCAGTTCCTCTGATTTGGATAATTATTTGCAAAATGTTTTTAGCAGGGGGAAACTGTTAAACCTACTGCATAACCAGTATATGCCTCCATATGTTGCAATTCAATTTGGGAACCACCATACTGATCATTTCTGTTATTGGCCGAGAATGAACTGATAAGAGCATTTGTGTCAGGACAAATGCATCATATCATAAATCATGTGACTTTGCTTCTATGATTCCTGCGTTTCCACGGATTTATTCAGTTGTTTCCGACATCAGATGCTTTTTAATTGGTTTACATCTGTTCTGCAACCTTAAGCATTGGTATTGTAACCTTTACTGAACTAACTGGTCTGGCAAAGTATTGGTGTATAATCTTGCAAGTGAAAATGCATTAATTTGAATGTTTCTTTTTGTGTGTGAATCTTTCCAGTGTTGTTTACCAAGATGGATTTTATGGTGCAGACATTTATGTAAGTACTCACGATATACATACAATATTCACTCATTTCTACAGCCGTTCCTCTTGCACGTTTACTGGGCATTGCCCCTTAGTTTTGACTTTATTATTTTGCCTGACAAAAAGCACAGTGCTGAAAATCAATTATGCATCTGAGCTCAATACTTAAAATTTTTCCCAATATTATTTTGAAATAGTTTTTGCTGATTGAGTGCTGTTTGTCTCTCATTTATGTTATCTGAATGCGGAGAGTGTGATCACCTTAAATATTAGCATGATGTGTAGCAACATTACTCCTTTCTTGTTAATGAATGGAATTGTAAATGTTTGTTAAAGTTTTTTATCCCCATTTAGTTTCCAAACATTTCATAATATTTTCTGTTCTATTTTTGGAAGGTTCTGTAGGCTTTTTGCTGGTGTCTTTAATATGTGTGATATCGGCAGATTTTATGGTATAAAAAAATGGTGCTCATTAAAGTGATAGATGGAAGACTGACATCAAAGTATTATTAATGGCTGCTTCCAGTGACGTTATTCAGCTTTCCTACCTCAGGCAAGCTTGACCAGTTCACATTGTACTAAGCTGGAGATTGGGACATATTTTCCACAAGTACATACATTGGCTTTTACTCAATTCGAGGTTTTGAGCTCCTGAGGCTATATGAAAGATTCAAATTTGCACTGAATAACCAAGTCAGTGGTTTTCCAGAGGAGGATGTCCCAATTCTCAATTGAGTCATTAGATGAGTACTTAGAATCAATAGAATTCCTACAGTGTGGAAGCTCGCCATTTGGCCCATCAGGTCCACACCAATCTTCCGAAGAGTATTCCACTAAGACCTACACTCCTACCCCATCCCTGTAACCCTGCATTACCTATGGCTAATCTACCTAGCCTGCATATCCCTCGACACCACAGGCAATTTAGCACCTAGCCTGTACATCTTTGGACTTTGCAATAGTGTCTTGCTTCATCTCATTGACACCCATCATACAACATGAAAATACAACAAAGTATTTTGTCGTTCCCAAAAAAAGGAATACCACAATGTTTGCAACACAGAAATAGTCCATTCAGCCCACTGTGTTTGTGCCAGCTCTCTGATAGAGCATCTCATCGAGTCCCTCTCACCCAACTTTTTCTCACAATCCTGCAAAATACTTCTCTTCAAATAATTATCCAATTCTCCTATGAGGCTTCAATTGAATGTTCCTTTACCACACTCTCACAATGTCCATTCTAAGTCCATCCGCTAGTTATATACAAACATTTTCTCTATATCATAATTGTTTCTCTTGTGACAAAGATAGTAGGACCTACAGATGCTGGAGAATCTGAGATAACAAGGTGTAGAGCTGGATGAACACAGCAGGCCAAGCA